CTGGATATGTAGAGATTTGAGGGGATTTGTAACTTTTTGCTTTTAAAACTGGTTTGAATCTTATATCTGTATTTGAACAGCACCATTCTTTAGCTAATAGTTTCCATAAAGACAGAAAACAAAGATTTTGTAGCAAGTGAAAGTCTTAATAAAGTGTACTTTCTGGTCCAAATTGGCTCCAATTTATCAAAATACTGAATCACATGTGTAAAATTGAGAATTTAAGCAATCTTTTCTTATTTAGAGAAGAATGACATTTTAGTCACACATTAGTAACACTTTGGTCTGCACAGTATCAAGTACATGCTGAAGTATATTTGTAAGCCACACAATGAGGTCCTGTCTTTGGTAGGGCAAATGTCAGTCAGAAACTAAGCCCTTACCCAGACCTAAATGACTAGAAAGTAAGAGTATTCAATTATTCAGCAGAATAATCCTCCTTCTTACAGAAGACAGCACTATCAGGGAAACACCACAACCCAGGAGCTGCTGTTGTGATCATGGTGTATCAAAGCGTCCCTGGGAAGTCTAAAGTGGGATAGGATAATTTTGCCACTAACATGGATTAGTAAATGCACTGGCGTATTTGTCAAGGGAGATGTAGTAAGGATAAATTATTTAAATCTGACCTAAATTTCCCATGTTTCTCTCTTGTTGTATAATAATAACAACAATAAATTCCAAAGTAATAATCTGCTATTTGAACTAAACCTAGAGTTAATTTTCACCCACACTGGACAAGAAGTAGGTTTTCCTTACTCTTCATTCCATCTGGGATATGTAAGTAGGTGCATAATGGTGCCCATTAAAACTGTAGTTCATTAAGTCATATTGGGATATAAAGGACATATTTGGTCCCACGTGGGACTGTCAGTGTAGATGACAGTTTCTCTCCTGTATCCACTCATCCTTAAAAGAGAAAGAAGTTGAAAGCATTTATAGGCGGTCCCTTTTAAACCTACATGTATTAGAAATTAGAAGTGTGTGTGTATATGCATGCATGCAAGCACATGCAACAGAGACTGAGAGAAACTCACCATAATACATTCTGCAGAAAAAAAAAAAAGATATTTATGTGGAGACTAATAAAAAATAATTTTGGCAGTGGAGAAGTCCTGTATGGTGTATCTTACTATTTGTCACCTGTGTGGTAAAGTCACAGGTAGAGTATCTAAGACAATCATATCTAAGACAGTCAAAAGCCACAAGAAGGAAAAAACCTCTCCCTTAATTCATATCACACGGGCTCTCTGCTTGGACACTAATGTCATGACAGCTTGCATTGTGGCAAGGTGGAGACTATGGCTTCCTGATCAAGGCCACCAAATTTTTAATGAAGAGCACTTGATTACTGCTCCCATTGTAGGAAAAGGTTGTTTGGAGGTGAACAAGGCTCTGCGCACAGAGGTATTCCACTCCTACCCTTCTTCACTCCCAAAACCAGATGAGCTGGAGCTGTCTCCAGTATGATTACTCACAGCTGGGGAAGGTCTTCCTGAGAAATAGGGACAGTAGCTCCATGAACTGAGGCTGGTGCATCCTTATCTCAGCATGCAGGACTCACAGCCAATAGTCACTGAGACACTGTGAACAGTTTTACTGCGCCATCTCATCACATCTCTTGCATGATAAAGTTCCTCAGATAATATAAGGCTTGCTGTTGCAAGATTTTGCCTTTCTAGACAGGATTGCAGGGCTGCTGGGAATGTTTGACTGGTTTGGCATTCAAATCCAAGCCTTATCCCTCTAAATCCTATGTCAAGTTTTCTAGGACATCCCCTTTGCAAAGAATGGATTTGGGGTAAAATCAGTCTCTCTGCAGTCTCAAGGGCATAAGTCTCAAGTCACTTTGGGCTTATCAGGACCACAAACACAAATGTAAGATCTTTCTAGAGAAGGAATCAAAACTGAGTGAGAAAGTTGAGTACTGGTCATAAGAGCTACAGGCTTCCAGAAATGTCAAATTCCTGACACTGACTGTGGGTCAGAACTTTCCATTAAGCTTCTCATCTGGAAGCAAATCTGCCTGAAGATCAGATGACAGACACCAGAAAGCAATACTTGTTTACATATTCAGAGTTTAAAATAAGAAATTTGCAATCATGTTTATGTTTAAAAAAAAGGTTTCTAAAAGATTTTGTGAAGAGGAAGAACTGTTTGCTTTTACAAAGTAGTAAGCAGACTTTTCTCTGGCATTCATAGCCTATTTGGGAAGTACTTTCCAGCATCTGTGGGCAAAGCTGTTTAAAAACAGTTCTCTACAAAAATAAAGTTGTAAGGCTATAAAGCATTTTTTATCTTGGCAGACCAAAATAGTTTTTTCCCAGTATTTCAGGAAGCCTCTGACATTCTCAAAAGTTCATTAGCTCGACTGTTTGGGGAAGAGTTTTCTTTCTGTCTTCAATCTTCTACTGATACAGAGATTTACTTTTGTTTATATCAATACAGGGTTATTTTTTATCACTTCATGTTTAGATGCTTGCTTTCTTATTGACATTTCAAGTAAGTGCCACTTTGAACAAAAAAGTGAGGGATTTTATTGTTTTAAAAAGAACAGCTTCAGTGTTAAATTGGATTCCAGAGAGTGGGATTTATACTCTAACCCTTACAAGATATTCATATCAAGAGCAAACTGTAAAATCAGAGGTTCTAAATTCTTTTTTTAAGTCTATTTTTTCCTATCTCAAAAAGTTAAAATGTGTTCTTTTTCTTCTTGCTGTTGATTAGCAAAAATTTCCTCAGCCTCTGCTGTCAAAGAGTCATACATATTTGATAGCTTTATCCTTTTCTCCTTAATATTTCAAGTAATTCAGCTAGACTATCTTCATCAATGGGGTAAGCAGAGCTGCAACACCTATTTAAGGGAGGGGAGCCATCTGGTTTCCTTGCAACTTGGAGCCTGCTGGCAAATATTAGGTTGTACCAATTTAGAGCATGATGAAGTGGGAAATAATGGACGTTTCTGAAGAATCTGAAATAGGATCAGCTGTTATCGGCGAAAATTGGCAGGTGCAGTGCACTATGCTGGCTGTAAGCGTGGTCTCAAGTTGGACAGTGCAGCTGGGAAAATGACTTGCTAATTGAATGGTTGCAGGACTCCCAACAGCTCTGAAAGTAGTGGAGCATCATTAATTGGAGGCTCTTGGTTGACTTAGTGGAAGCTGTCACAGAAAGAAGGATCCTGCAAGTTGAGGTTTACTTTCTAGGTTAGTGTTCTGTTACACTGAATGAGTCCTCGTGGAGTCAGAAGTGCTTTCAAACTCAGGAGGACCAGCCTAAGGCTAGCAACATCTATTTTATTTACAGCATGGTGACAGCGGTTGGGAGGCATAAAAGATACGCAATTACACATTTCTTTAACTGCATGCTTCTGTTGTTATCTTTCCCTTCCCTCTCTTTTTCCCTTTTATTTCCACTTGTGTTAGGTTTCAAAATTGGCTTGGCTTGGAGCAGAAATTATTTTTTTTTTTCCTATTTAGAGCCTTGGAAGATTGTGTCCTCAACTGCTTCTTGGATGCTGCCATAATTCATAAAAGTAGTTATAGAATAAGAACTGGCCTTATTTTGGTCCAGAATAGTATTACATACACCTCTGGTTTATGTGGGTCTCAGAATAGCAGTGAATGCAAAAGCACGTGTGCATTAGTTGTGGCTCCCATTCTTATATGTTGTTTTTGTTCATTAAATGCAAACATATTGCAATGTATCCTAGTTTAATATAAAGGTCTGTGGGCAAAATGTGGCATTTTCCATCAGCTGTTAACATCCCTCGAGAGAAGATGTATTGGCAATGAGTGCTGTGCAGAAAGCATTGCTGACTTCAGAGTGCACTTCATGTATCATTAGTGACGGTAGCATCCCTGAGCGCCTGAAATCTCTCCAGCCATGTACAGTGTAGCTTTCCTGGATGAGTTATGGAGGCTAGGAGGTAAGAGACTTCAGTGACAGGGTTGCACCATCCAGCATGCCTCTGGCCTGCAGAGACACGAGGTTATCTGTGAGTGTGGATTGGATGAGGAACAGCAGGCTGAAAGCTGGCCTGAGCTTCCTAGTGCGGAGTTCATGGGCTGTAGATCAAGTGTTAAACTCTTCAAAAGAACTGATGAAACCACTTTTTCAAGCTGGATTCTAAGCAAAACTTGCAGTGGCCATCAAGCTCTTTCAAAGTTTAGGTGATACATCTAGGGAAAATGCATTCAGTTTGCATCTGCATTTGGATAACCTGTGTTAGGTGGGAGGGAGGGACATGAAATTGGCAAGATTTGGAAGTTGTACCTTTGGATCAAAACCATGTGTGGCAAACATCAAGCACAGGCCTGTGATGGACCTGAGAATAGCAAAACATTGATGAAGAGACTCCTGCCTCCTTCCCCAGGCTCTGACTCAGCACCCTGGGACAAGCTGTTTTGGGGAATGCTGTGTTTTTAAATATTGTAGCTTCATGTGGACCAATTTATGGTGTCTGGTTCTAGCTTAACTCTTCTGGATGCTTACTTTGCCTCTTTTGATCTTCCTGACATTAACAAGTGGATGGAAATAATTCATCTGGCCTCATAAATCAAATAAATTCATAGAATCATAGACTCATTTAGGTTGGAAAAGACCTCTAAGACCATCCAGTCAAACTGTTAATTCAGCACTGCCAACCCACCCTTAAACCATGGCCTTGAAGTGCCATGTCTATTGAGTCTTTGAAATACCTCCAGGGACAGTGATTCCACCATTTTCTTGGGCAGCCTGTTCCAATGCTTGACAACCCTTTCAGTGAAGAATTTTTTCCTAATATCCTATTCTAAACCTCCCCTGGCACAACATGAGGCCATTTCCTCTTGTCCTGTCAGTTGTTACCTGGGAGAAGAAGCCAATCCTCACCATGCTACCACCTCCTTTCAGGTGGTTGTAGACAGAGATAAGGTCCCACTGAGCCTACTTTTCTGCAGTGGAGGGAATCTCATCACTCTCTACAACTTCTTTATCTATCTCTTTTCCTCCCCACACAGCTGAATGAATCTGCCAAGCAGCTCATGGAGATGGACAAGACGTGCTCGGCTGCGGCCTCTGGCTGTGACCTGCCGCTGGCCACGGAGACGGTGGCGGTGGCAGCGGCGGCGGCGGTGGGTCTGGCTCCGTGCTCCACGTTGGCCGCCGCGGGGGCGGCCGGCGCGGCCCAGAGGCAGGTGGAAGGCAAGAAGAACGCCAAGAAGCGCCACTCCTTCACCGCCCTCAGCATGACTCACAAGTCCTCCCAGGCCGCCAGCAACCGGCACTCCATGGAGATCAGTGCCCCTGTCCTCATCAGCTCCAGTGACCCACGGGCAGCTGCCAGGATTGGGGACCTCACCCACCTCTCCTCCAGTGCCCCAGCCCAGGTAAGGTGGGGTGCAGGGGGGGTTTGGGCATCCTTAGCAGGTGGCAGGCCCTTGGGTCACCTCTTCCAAAATGGCTCACCCTCGCATGAAGCAGTCACAGGTGCTGTCATCCTGGTGTGACAGTACTGGGCACCTTGCATTAATCACTGGGCAAGTGTGAGAAGCCAGAGGATAAGGCTAAATTGGATTCACATTACTGCAACAATTTAAAAAACAAAAAGTAATCCTACAATCTGTTAGAAGCAATGCAACTGTTACAGCAGTTTCTGTTGTAGGAGGGAATAATTTTGAGTGATCCCATTACCCTGAACATAACTGTTACTCTGCAGGGTAGCAATGTCAGTATGAAATTCACACACTGGGGATAAAAAAAGATTTTTGGAATAATTATTTCTGTACAGATCACTGGAGGATGAGCAAATGTGCTGCACTTTGACAAGTGTTGTACCCTGCAAGTAGCTGCTGTTCAGAAAAACCCAAGGAGTTTTTAAACCATCACACATACTGAGAGTGCAGCAGCCCTCTCCATCCTTCCCCCTCTCAAAGGAGGAAGCAGAAGAGCACCCTCCCAGACACCCCCACAGGTCCCAAAAGGAGCTTCCAAGAGGCTGCTTCTGGGGCCCTGGCAGAAACAGGAGCCAAACTTACCAGGGGTGCACTGAAACCCTTTGCAATTGCCTGCTATTTCTATGGATAAGGAAATTCAACTGGCAATTTGCAGTTTGAAGATGTAGAAGAGAAGGGAAAATAGTCACAGTCCCAAAGCTCTTCTGCCTCAGCCTTCCTGCCCAGTCATCTACACCGTGCGTGCAGATTAGCACCCACATGTGGTTTATAGACCAGTTCCTCATAGTCTATCTCATAGTCTCATAGTCCAAAATAACCTCAGCATGACAGGGTCATCCCACACATCATGTCTGTGCTGAAAAAAGCCATCCTTGCCCTTCTCCTCTCCCTGGACAGGATGTCCCCTCACATCCACATCCCCATACAGGGACAAACATGGATCACTTGCCAAGCATGTGGCGGCCTGGAGCAGGAGGCAGTTCATGTTACAGCCACTGCCTATGCTGGTATGCATGTAGATGGCTGTGAGAGGGACAAGCAGCAAACTGTAGGGGCTGCTTTGGGCAGAAATGCCTGTTTATGTCCATCTGTAGTGCTGGTGGGTCTCCCCTATGAGGCCAGTGTGGTGCACCAGACCATGGGGTCACTCCTGATAGCTGTGCCCCACTGTGACCCAAGATATGAGCCCCAGGCCCCTGCAGCACAGGTTTGCAAGGACTCTGGGGGAGGCAGGGTGCCTGAATGCACACCATGAGCAATGCAGGGCCAGCCAAAACTGTCCTGAGAGGACACTGCCACAGTGGAGCAGTACTCTCTATTCCTGCCTCAACTGCTCACCTCCCTCCACTGCCCATCCACATGTAGGAGCAGAGAGAGAGCTCAGTCCAACTGTAATAGCACCCGTTTTCTTCCACATGCCTTTTCCAGGAAGGGTTTCTGTGGTGTAAGGTCTTCCCCTCCTTTCAGCCCCCAGCAGGAGGGTGAAGGTGAGGATATGGCTCCCACACAAAGCAGCAGGTACTGGGATGTACTGGGACATCTGTGAAGCAGCATAAGCACTACACATGAGGGAGGGTCTCAAACTTGTCAAGTAAATGACACCCAGGCTTTTGGCACTGAAAGTGACACATTTGGACTTTACAGAGACATGATAGTGGCTTTTCTGGTCCTGTGCTAGTCAAGAGAAACACAACACACACCCTTTTTTGTTAGAGTCATGTTGAAGACTCAGTCTGAGCTAGTAAACCACAAGTTATACCATGAAACAAAAAGTGCCTTGATTATTCTCCTCTGTTGTAACAGAACAACTGGTATGTGAGACCCCACTCATTTCTCAAACAATTTTGTCATTTGCACACAAGTGGTAGAGGACAAGAAGGGCCTGATGTTCCCAGTGAAAAGTTATGATTATTGAAATCCAGCCCACAGGAAGCTTGGTTGGGTCCTTTGCAGCAGATGGGAAGAGATGTACTTGGTGCCATGGTCAAAAGCTCATCTAAGGCTGGGGTGTTGTGAAGCCCATGGTGGGAACAGGTTTGGGGAGTGGTTCTGCTTCAAGGCATAGAGCCAGTTTGCAGACAAGGCAGCTGAGCACATGCCTCTATCACTGCTGGTCAAAACTGTCTTGGCCAAAATCCAGGCGGGGAAGCAGAGTCTTGGTAGCTCAGATCAACCTTAGTGAAAAGATGCTTCCCTCTGTCAAAAAGTGTCATTGATCCCTGTCACCCCAAGTGTGGCATTTACATGTATTAGTACACATCTCTGCTTTTGGGAACCTTGCTTTCTAATTTGAGGGATTTAAACATTTTCCTTTGAAAGCTTTGTAATGAATGTGAATCTATAGGGGGAAAAAAGTGGGGCTGAAGTTTTCACTATGTTCTCTTGAAAACATAGGAGCAACCTTCAGAAAAATGCTTGTAAGATTAGCAATGAAATCACAAGAGCTACAAATATGCATTCACCTGTTTTTCAGCCTTCTTAGTTAAGTCTACAAAAAATACAGAATTTGGCTCCTACCAAATGTCCATCAAAATTGTGCAGCTATATTTATATAACTATTAATCCCATAATAATAGGGGTTACTTTTTAATTAAAAATGTCAGAAATTCAGTCTCTTCTCTGCCATCTGCTAAGACCTGACATGGCTCTGAAGCAATTAATGGTGCTTCAGCCTTAGACAGAATATCAGTTCAGCACTTTTCTTTTATTCACATGGCTGAATGCCAGCCAGAGTAGCATAAACAATGGGCCCCATGAGCTCTTGCATCAAGGCATTCAGGGCAGTGAGAATCTTGTCTTCAGATTTTTTTGCTCTAAAATGCATTTGGCATTTCTAAGGTAAATGCCCTGTATGTCTTGTTCAGCATTTGACATCTTGACAAATCTGCAAACTGATTTTACTGCTGCTTCAGAAGTGCTCAGGGGCGTTGCTGAGAGCATGGGCAGGTTGTAGGAAGGCTGTGCATGTAGCTGCTGAACTCACCAGTGAGCTCTGCTGCAGGAAAATGTCTCACCTTTTCTTTCCTCACTTGAAGAGGATCCTCTCTGTCCTGCATGTCATTGTCACATCCCTTGAGTGGTTGTCTCTATAACCATCTCATGCCCTTACTGGTTTGCAACAGCAAATTCAGCCAAACCTTATTTCTTATGAGGGACACAACAAAGTTACAGTTTCAGTATCTAGCAAATTTATGCCATTTTTTAACTAGAATGTAAATTTGGTTTATTGTGTCATTATATCCCATCCTTGAAATTTCCAGGCACTTTTTCATTGCTTATTTAATAGATCTCTTCATAAAAAGAAATAAAGGAATTTTGTTCCATTGCAGGTATGAGTTTCTCTGAAACATATCAGGATTGGTATTCAGCTTGCAGGGGGATTCTACATTTTGAAAAAGTTCAACACAGTTTTCTTATAGCCTGTCCTTTGAACAAGCAGAATTCAATTACAGGAGTTCTTGAATGGCACCCAGTCCCCTACCTCAAGGCAAGCCAGCAAAACATTCTCCTCTGAACAAGCATCAGTTTTCCCTGCAGACCTGAGGCACCTACATGTGGAGCACCTGCTTTCTCTCTGCTGACATGAGAAGAAACAGAGACATCTAGGGCTTACTGCCTAAGTTACTGCAGGAACTTAAAATTTAGGTGCAAATTTTACATGTTTCAGTAAATGTAGCATATATTCCACCCCTTAGAAGTTATTTCATGTGTGGTGCTTTATTCTTGTGGCTTTTGTCAATTCTTGTGAATTGAAACCAGACTTCCACACTGAGCTGACGTGGCTTTTTTTTGTTTTTATGAGTCGTTAGACTAATATAAGCCTCCAAGAGGGCACAGATTTCTGCCTGATTTCTAAACTGACATGCAGACCAGACTATGAAATCACATGTTTTGAAAGCAGTTCTGCATATCATTAATTTAATAATCAAAGACTGCTGGCCTTCCATAATGTGTTCATTGTTCTTTAAGCAGAACCAGCTCAGCTGTTTTCCAAAAGCCAAGATGTATTTTGAAATGAATGATGGTCTTAAAAAACATCTTCACTGACTGCAAACTTTGGGATGCTTGAAAGGTAGAAGAATCAACTTGAAGTCACCTCAGCTGGATAAAATAGTGATAGGAATTCCACAACAGCCAGGATATAAAGCATTTAATTTAAAAGAGGCAATGCTGGAATCCTAATTTTGCCTGCAACTAAATTTGCTTGTATGCTTTTTGCTGCATGCTAAGCATCACTCATTAAATGTAAGATCTTCATCCAAAAGGTAATAGTGCCTTTCCATCATGCAGAATGTCCTATCATACTGGCAAAATGGATTTTTATTGAAGATGTAAGTAGTGCTGCAGGCCTGTGATGGAGCTGAAGCTGAATTAGGTTACGGGTGCAGAGGAGTGGTTCGTAACTGAGACTCCTTGGGGAGTGGGGAAGGTCCCCCTGGAAGGTAATCATGCCTAGGCCTCAGATGGCTTGTCTTGCTTCCATTTTCACCCCTTATGAATTATTCGTCCCTGCTAGTTGAAAAGGTCATGGGTCAGTCCTGCTCCAAATCCCCTGGATTTTGACAGAAAAGTGTCTCATGAATAATGAAGCATGGCTTTGTGCACACCAGGGTAACAGCTGAGTGAGGAAGAAAGGACCCTCCCCACAGAAGGAACTTCTGTGTGTGTTTTGAACAACTCATCACTATGCACAAGAAGTCAATTTGTATCTGCAAGTATTAGTTCAAGCTCCTAACCAGAGGACACATGTTCAGGAAAAGCTGAGAATAATGTCTTGCACGCTCCCAATCCCAAAGATTGACAGTATTTGAAATGAAAAATGTTCCTTGAAGTGTCTTGCTATATAAATCATTTGGAAGTGTGTCCTTATCAGTTATTTAGAAGTGCTGAATTTTAGCTGAGAAAATGTAATAGCAGAACTCTGGTTGAGCCTT